GGTCGAAGGATCACAATAGTCAGCAGTAGGATAAGCAGACAGGAACACTTTGAAAGCAACTACAGGCGTAATATTGTACTCAGCTTGCTGCAAAATATCTACTAAGGTGATTCTAAACAGTTCCTGGATACCTCTGCGTGTCATTTGAGGACTTCCATGCTTCTTGTGCTTGGCTGTTAAGCTCGTGATGCGCTGACGGATTTCAGTCACCTTACCACTTCAAATCACTTTATATAGCCCCAATGCTAAAGGAGTGTGGGAAATGCCTTCTTTTTAGCCAATAAAAATGTCAAAGTTCAGTTCAAAATAAGAAAAACTGGATTGGTTAGTTGTTGTTTTTTTTCAACAAAGATGTCCCCCACTGGATCGAGAGTGGCCTGTCAAGATCCTTATAAATTATTTGAAACCTAAAACAGGAAAACATTTACAAGTATTTGAATGATTTATTGGCTGGATCAAAGAGTTTCGTAATGTGGAATTAAATTGTAAAATGTGTTGACAGTGAGGTACTTAGACGTATTATGTTTTCTCACAGATTGAAAAAAATTGATAATTACTTCTCAGTTAACAATTAGACTTATTTTGTATATGCAGGCCTATTACAAAGATGAAACGGGAGAAAGGTCAACAGCTAATCTTCTTGTTTATGCATCCTATTCTCCTACTGAGCGCCATCTTCAGGTATCTACAAGTACTAAACATCCAAAGGTAAGAAATGAGACAAGGCGATCATAAACATCACGCAGAACGCATGAAATTCATTCTTTGAAACCAAATACATCAATATATTTAACTGCTGCAGTTAATACTTACAGCCAAGCGAGAGCTCTTTGTAACATAATACTTTACCATTATCATTCAAAAAATATATCCTGGACTAATTTCAAATACAAATTATCTTTTATATAAATTGTTCAAAAATATGTTCTTAGTTAATTCCAAGTGATTAACAAAATATTTCTTATGTTAAACTTTTCATAAGATCAACTGAGTTTCAAAATTAGATTCTAAGGTTTATGAAATGATATAATAAATACATCAGTGTGAGTTGTGGACCAACTCTCTGTAAAGATTTTTTTTTTAACAACATATCTATAAAAAAGAAATAATTAATAAAAGCCAATTCTTGCAGTTCTTTCTTAGTGCCTTCTTTCCCATACATCGTAAACCCTTAATTGTATTCTTAGTGTCTTCTTTCCCATACATCGTAAACCCTTGTATTCTTAGTGTCTTCTTTCCCATACATCGTAAACCCTTATTTGTATTCTTAGTGTCTTCTTTCCCATACATCGTAAACCCTTAGTTGTATTCTTAGTGTCTTCTTTCCCATACATCGTAAACCCTTAGCTGTATTCTTAGTGTCTTCTTTCCCATACATCGTAAACCCTTAGCTGTATTCTTAGTGTCTTCTTTCTCATATATCGTAAACCCTTAGTTGTATTCTTAGTGTCTTCTTTCCCATACATCGTAAACCCTTAGCTGTATTCTTAGTGTCTTCTTTCTCATATATCGTAAACCATTAGCTGTATTCTTAGTGTCTTCTTTCTCATATATCGTAAACCCTTAGTTGTATTCTTAGTGTCTTCTTTCCCATACATCGTAAACCCTTAGTTGTATTCTTAGTGTCTTCTTTCCCGTACATCGTAAACCCTTAATTATATCTAACAGTAACAACGGCGAGATCATATTGCCTGCGAGTTTCCAAAGTATAGAGAGAAAAAAAAGTTAAAGTTAAAACAAACTATATATTTCTCTGTGTCACTTGTGTTGTTTTGATTGAGCAGGTGAGGGAGTTTGTTATTTTCCACGTAAGAGCTGACTACTTTGTGGAGAACTTTTCGTATGTGGTAAGTTATAGATTTTGCACCTTTTATTTAAACGTTTGCTATTTTCCGTTTTGTATTTGTAGTTTTATTTTTGAATTCTTGAAAACCGCATAGTTCTGATATTTGGATACTTAATTTAGAATCCCTTATTTAATGTGAAAGTTTCGTATCGTAATCACCCCAACCCACCCCCAGAATACCCCTAGGTACTTCCAATTTATTCCATTCCTGACTATTGGTCATCTTAAAAATTATCAGTTATTACATTTTGTAATTGTTTAGATTATTTTGATTTTTTAATGGCCTCAGTTGTTTCTAGTGCAATAACTAATTAAATTTCTTACTTCTAGCTTCATGCTAAATTATCAACTTCTCCAATAATTATCAAAGTTAGTAGTGTACCATAATTCATTCCCAAATTTTAGCAGTGGTTCCCATCCTTTCTCACTCTACGGACGGACAAACATAGTCTTTTTTATAACCTAAACTTGTTCAAGAAGTCTGAAAAAAAAGTTTCAAGTCTCACTTATTTTATAATTAACTAAGAAGGAAACAACCCATTGCATCTAGTCTTACCGACATGTTCAAACTATAAATTTCACTAAAATCAAATCCCACATCACGGACTTCCCTATCGAAAGCTTCGTGTTTGAACAGAATCTCAACTTTCATCATTATATCTTTTCTTTAGCTAACTTTAGAATACTACTTTTATTACTATTTTACAATAGAGTAACATTTTACTATTGGAAATTCTGGTTCAATTTGTTTTGCCAGTGAAGGAACCAGTACTGTAGGGATTTTATTCTCCATGTAATATCGAGACGGCTTAATCTGCTATGTGACCATTAGCCGGTCAAATGATACGTCCGCTTCCATTCCTATTTTCTTTGGTTCCTTTTTTCAAGTTCAGTAGCTAACCCTAAATAGCTTTTCTCATTTAGCTCTAATTTCTTTCCCATATACTTGTTTGTTTACGTTTTTATAAGATGACGTACGTGGGTTACTAGGTTATAGAGTGTATTCTAAAGCTTTATAAATTGTCCGTAGAATAATATTAAAATAGGTAGTCAAAGACTCTGAAGACAGTTTTCTTCTATCAAATGACGATAAAATGATAGTTACTGCTAGAATTAAGTAGACGCTAGGCCTGTTGAAGAAAGGTTATGATGAACGAAAATAAGAAATCTCGGTTTTGGATATTCGCCGGTTTTCGACTTTTGGACGCTCTGGATAGCTGAAAAGCGGCATATACACCGGTGGTAGAGCGACTATGCCAGGTGGATTTTCATATTTAGCTTTAGCTTTTGATGATCTGTAGAGAGGAAAATCCAGATTTTTTGTTGTATTGATTTAATACGGGCATCCGTGCTAACCCTACATAGAGAATGCCAGCGCACTCTCCAATAAGATGTTTTTATTTCATGTTTGAAGGAGAACCCCACACTTTATTTTAAAAATGTGAACATCCAACGTAAACCGTGATTGTTATTTTATTGTAGAAAAGTGTTTTTTAATGGCCCTACTTACTTTAGATTTCTTCCTTCATAATAATTTGCATTCCAGTTTTTATTGGTGTAAGTCGAGGCATTAAAAAGTTAGTGTTTAAAATGCAGGCTAATTTATCTCAATATCATGAAGCAAACTCCACTATACACAACTTTGTCTGTCGGTTATAAAATTTTCGTGCAAATCTACATAAGGCTATATGCGCATAGTGTTAGGTATTATAATTTCAAATGGGATATAACTGAGTCAAATTGTAATTTAGACTTGGTAGTTAAATAAAGACCGGTATATAGCCAGTTTATGATATTTGCCAACAAGATTGATATACAGAGTTTTTTTTTTAATACAAATATGTTTTAATATAAACACAACAATACAATTTACAATAACAGTTAATACAAATAGTTATTACACACAATGATTTATATACAAAAGTTTTACAAACTTACAAGCAATATAAAGTCTTCTTTCTAGTCTGGAGCTTCCTTTATCTTATCGAGGGTTCACGATGAGCTAGTTAATTACGAGTTGATGTAGGTACCATTCGCCGGGAAGCTAGCTAGCTTTGTCCTTTGCCACACACGCTGAGTTTTCTACGATGAAGTTATATAATGTTTTCGTAAAAGTACTAATGTTCGATGAGAATCCACTGATGTTAAATGAGTTGTAATGTTCGAACTTTGTAAATACTCGAGGTCAAATATCTAAAGTTTTCCGATTGATAAGCGTTATAACAATCACAATTATAGCTTCCGAAGTTTATAGCACACTGACTAATGATAGATACTGCTTCTTTTTTCTTTTTTTTTGGCGCGTCATGTTGGTTATATTTATAGGCATGTGGAGACTTTCTAGAAAATTCAATTATGTAACAATACAAAGCTACACTATCGTTTATGTATACACATACATATTGTTGATTCTTACATTCGAGAATCTTCTACACCTGTATGGAATAGGCGGGAGTTTCGTAATACATATTTAAATGTATAAGTTATGTACACTTGTAAATATAAAATTAATTCAAGCAAACATCGATATTAAAATAAATATATAATAATAAACCCGTCACAGTAGCCATCCCTAATTTTGAATTGATAGACTAGGAAGAAATTATCTTGTCCAAAGCATCTACCGCCAACTCTTGAGTTGTTATTTCTGGATGAATACTAAAATTTGACCGTTAGTCTTATAGCGCGCTCGCGGTCCCAAAACGTGTTTGGAAATGGGGGATTTCCGGATTTACATACCGGGCATGCTAAGCAATATTTACAGAGATGCTGACTTTCATTCATTGATGTTGGAGTCCATTAACTCTATGTTATATTTTAAGCAGACTTCTAAGACTATCCGCTATTTTTACCTAACCCTAATATTCCTGTTTGAAAAGCAAACTTAGTTTTACTCAAAAACGATACATCCAAAGCTGACCAAACTATCTACGAAAGTACTCCCGTTCTGTAGGATAAAAAATCAAATGGATATGATAATTTAACCTTATCGGAAGGTCAAAGAAATGGGACGTGTCTTGAAGCGCCAGCTATCAAAATATCTGACAGCGAAGCTCACGAAAATGAACCTCGTAACATTGTTGTACAGAACTTCTTGAAACATGGACAGACGATAAACGAAAATATATGTATATAACTTGTATATGTGATTGGGAATGCTCATGTACGATAAAATATTTATCTCATTATAAATGTTATAAGAGGGCTGTTTTATATATAGTTAGAAAATGAAACCGTATATCGTTGAGACCAGGTTCAGTTTGATGTTCACACTAATTTATTTGCAGGTTATTTCTAAAGGAATACTGTTGTTGGCTGGACAAGAAAAAATGACATCGAGTATCAAAACCTTCGCCGTGGCCATCACTCCGGAAATGACGCCCACTGCTACCATAGTGATTTACGATATCGCTCGAGAGGGCGTGGTCATCGTTGATAGTTTGACGTTTCCAGTTGACGGATTCTCCAGAAATGATGCAAGTTTTATACATTTCACTGATTTTTATAGACAGTAAATCAGTTTTCTCCTTTTTATCGAAATCATTTGATCTGACTGGACAATTTGTTAGAGATTTAAGCCAACCAAGATAATAGGTCCCTGCAACTTTTGTTTTTGTTTTGTATGTTTACCAAACTACCCATCAAATAAACCACGATTGTTAGTCTTAGCAAATCAACCACATTAAGTTAGTCAGGCGTTAAGCGCTTGGTTGGTTAATTTAGACGGTCACGTAATGATTCTTGTATTTTACAGACATGTTAAGTTTCTGGTATTTAGGAAAAATGTGATTTTCATTCCTAGCACATTATCCTTGCTTAACAACATTAATTATCAATGTGTAAAGTTAACTAAATATTGATGTTTTTGTAATAACCAGAAGTTATTTATTCACGTAGTTCACAGTGAACTTGAAGAAGACGGGTAGCAATGGAGAGACAGTGGAAGTTACCGTCAGTGGCCGACCTGGCACTTACGTGGGCGTTTCTGCAACCGACAGAACCCTATTCAACATGCACTCAAGCAATGAACTCAATCATGATGACGTAAGTAATACAGGCGCATTACCACGTGCGATCGATTGGAGAATTTCAAATGTTCTTGGCAATCAAAGAACTGTCGAATTCTTTTCACTCCCTAAAAGCAAGGGTCTTAAACTGTTTAAAACGGGAGAAATTGTATAACTGACCCAATCTCAACGCACTGAAATTTTCGCGTGTTTTGGATATTTAAGTAAAACTACAGCCGTCCCTAATTTTGAATTAATACACTAGAGGGATGACAGTTAGTCAACAACACCCACCGCCAAATCTTGAGCTACCCTAATCGAATAGTAGGATTTGACCCTATCTCTTTAAAAAGCATTCACTGCCACAAAGTTCTGAGTGCAATTTTGTGGCAACAGTGTGTAAACTACGAATCCTCGGTTTCACAGTACGGCACGTTACTTGCTAGGCAATGCACTAAAATAAATCACGTGGACAGCATTTGGTTATAAAGTCTTTTTGTGTTTGTTCGTTATGAATTTCACACAAAGCTACACGACGGCTATCCCTAATTTAGCAGTGTAAGACTAGGGGGAAGGCAGCTAGTCATTACCACCCACCGCCAACTCTTGGGCTACTCTTTTACCAACGGATAGTGGGATTGACCGTCACATTATAACGCCCCCACGTCAGAAAGGGTGACCATGTTTGGTGTGACTGGGATTCGAACCCGCGACTCGCAATCTAACCACATGGCCATGCCGGACCATCTTTTTGTGTAATTCCAGTCACTGGTGAGTATGTCTTTTAGTTGAGTAAAATAATATCCAGGTTTCTTCAAATGTCGACTTTTTTCTGACGCCACGTCCGCTATAGTTTTAGAACTGTTTTGATTCAAATTCTGCTCCGTGGTCTGAATAAATTCTTTAACTAAAGTTTCACATTTTACTGATTCAAGTAAAAGTTTACAGGTTTTAAAGTGTAACCTTCAGTGTCACATCTGTCGTGTACTATTTTTGTATCAAAATTTGTTATAATTGAAAGCAAGTAAAAGGTGAAGGCTAAGTTTTAAACATCTGGCCTTCAGTGTTGTTAGGTTAAACTAACCGTGTTCATTTACAAAAAATAAAAGAGAAAACAAAAAGTTATTTTTTAGTACAAAACATAGTTTTGCCGAGAGACACTCATATAAGATGCTACTATGTAACCCTTGGAGGGTCATAATTTAGAACCTATTCACTATAGCACAGCCGGTGCACGGTGGAAGGGGGTCTGTCTCTCCAACTGGTGGTGGTTCTCCAGAAAAGTTTTGAACTTTAAAACTGAAATGGCGCATTCTGGTGACTTTTTTTTACGTATATAATCCATAAAACTTAAATATACAGGCTTTGTAAACATTTATATTTTAGTCACTGACATTGTTGTTGGGAGAAAATAATCATATTTAGATTTTATATCAAAGAAAATTGGCATCTTAGGCCCATGGGCCCATGACTGCTTAGTATTCTTCACATCAGCTCAGTCTACTTCAGTGCACAGTATATGACACGAACAGTTTACTCCTCGTTTACCTTATATCACCCAATCCACTTTCCGATGGCTTAGCGTTGATAATGAGGGCTTATAACGCTAAAACGTCATAGTGTTTTGGCACTTGTGTATAAAGTTAAAATCATAAATAATATTCAACGTTAAACTGGTACACAATTAAAAACATTTTATTTAGGCCTATCTATGGCCTTAAAAAAGTTGACGACTCCACATGTTTCGACGTTACAACGTTACAAGACTCCTGAAGATGACGTTGTAACGTCGAAACATGTGG